CACCACTATCATCCTAATGATCACCATTTTATAATCGTTGGATATTGTTGTATAAAGTTACCTACTGATTGAGATCAAGACAGGATATAGAAATACAACAAAATTTCAACAAAAACAGACTTGAACTTGTGCTCAATGAGCAGTTGATTTATTACACGGACCATGACAAAAAAAATCGCACCATTCTTGCATAACGTTTTTTCTTCAATAAATCGTTACAGTTAGGCTTATACGCGTATTTTTATCATTACCTTTTTGCTGGCAATGAAATCACGTTGACCATTGTTTTTGTAGTAAAAATCACAATATACATTAGATTGAAGATAAATAGGGCATGTCTAGATCATTCGGAATTGATTTAGTGCAACGATGAATGGCTGAGAAAGCACCGTGTGAATACCAGAATCTTTCGCAGTTCATACAGGGTGTTTACGAAATTGGAGCGATAAATAAAAATCGTGTAACAAAACAACTCTTGCTTTACAAAAATCAAGCTTATATACACTCAGTTCCAAAAAAAGTGACGCACTTGATATTTGACCTATCTTTGAAAAAAAATAGTAGGCCTTATTTTATTTAATTTTTTTGTTGGTAGGTAATGCATTTGTCTTTAAAAAAAAATAAAGAGGTGAACATTTTTTCAAAGCCTCCTTGATGGTGGTGGAATAACTCGAACCATGATTTATTCTTAATTTTTGACTCACCCTGTGTGTTAATTGAGTGATGGTATACAAAGTGCTTGCACCCTATACGAAAGAGGCTTCTTTTGCGAGCATTTTGTTTTTTTATTCATCGATTTATCTCTAAAATTTTCCGAATTACAGCTTTTTTGCTGATACCTTACGCTTATCCCACAAATTAAATTTATTGAAGGATCAGAGTACTCAAAATTGATTGGGTTGTACTCTGGTAGGATCACATTGCCTTTAAAAAAACAAATGCCGTTGCCATAGCAACTAATTTGTTGTATGCCTCCATATTTGACCATTTGTCGTTGTGTCATTAATTAAGTGTCTTGTTTTTTTGACTAAAATTACATGAAATGCTTCAAATAAATCCTGAACAGGTAGCAAGATTAGTTGCGTTAGTAAACGATGGGCGTAGTAAACGTTACGCCGCTCGTGCAGTGGGAGTTCATGAAGCAACTGCTCGTAGACCAATCCGCAAATACGAACAGGAAGCACCGCTCGGAGGGTCGGTTCTGGTCGCCCCCGAAAAACTTCTCCAAGAGATGATCGCTTCTTGAGATTGCGGATTTTACGGAATCGATCAAATACTGCGGTAAATGTTCATCAAGATCTTCGCCAAATTCGTGATGTTGCAGTATGTAAGCAGACGGTAGGTAGACGTCTAGAAGAAGTTAATTTAAAAGCTAGGAGACCTGCAGAAGGTCCCAAATTATTGCCGAACATCGTGCTGCTAGAAGGAATTTTGTTGAAAATTATGGACAGTGGAATATTCCTGAATGGTCGAATGTCTTGTTTACAGATGAGTCAAGGTTTGCCTTAACATGGTGGATGGAAGAAAAAGAGTGTGGAGAAGAACTGGTGAACAGTTTAATCAAAATTTAATAACAGAATGCGAAAGTTTTAATGGTGGGTCCGTCATGGTGTGGGGAGGGATTTCAATGAATGGAAAGACACCCCTTCATGTTTTTCCGGTGAGGCAGTCGATGAATGCCCAAATGATTCTAGAGCAGAATGTCTTAACTTATGCAGAGTTAGTGGGCAATAATTTTATATTGATGCAGGATAATGCCCGACCACACACCGCAGCAATAGTGCGAAACTTCTTAGAAGCTACTGGTATTACCACATTACAATGGCCTGCGAGAAGCCCCGATATGAATCCTATAGAACATTTGTGGGATGAATTAGGGAGAAGGGTAAGTTCTCGCGAGAGGTCTCCGGAAAGTCTCGCAGAAATGGCAGATGCATTAGTGGAAGAATCGGATCGTATACCAATGGAAACGATAAGCAACTTAATTTCCAGTATGCCTCGTAGATTAGAAGTTCTTAGAGTTGCAAGAGGAGGCAATACACGGTATTAAGCAGTCATCCCAATTTATAATTCTGTGTTAAATAAAAATGTTTTTTTTTAAATTACTGGTATCAGTTTATTTCATTAGAAAATTGTTTCTCGATAAATTCAGAAAGTTGGTAATCTGCAAGGATTCAGCAAAAAAAGGTGTAATTCGGAAAATTTTAGAGATAAATCAATGAATAAAAAAACAAAATGCTCGCAAAAGAAGCCTCTTTCGTATAGGGTGCAAGCATTTCCTTTGCCATTACTCAATTAACACACAGGATGAGTCAAAAATTAAGAATAAATCATGGTTCGAGTTATTCCACCACCATCAAGGAGGCTTTGAAAAAATTTTCACCTCTCCATTTTTTTCAAGACAAATGCATTACCTACCAACAAATAAAAAAAAATCGGCCTACTTTTTTTTTGTGTTATTTTTTTTTAAGAAATATCAAGTGCGTCACTTTTTTTGGAACTGAGTGTAGAAAATAGGGCACTATAAAGCCTACTACTTCAAAATAATTTCGTTATGCCACATATGCATAAATTCTTTTACGGTATGTCTGGCGGAAAAAAATCAGAAGGTCAAAAACGATTTCCATTTTCGGAAAAGCGAAAACTTCAGTAATTCGCCACCTTCAGATGAATTGAAAAATATCCTGCATCAAAAAATGCCTATAGTGATGGTGGTTAGTATAGGTGCAGGTCTAATTTCATGAAAATATCTAGAACAGTATTGAAGTCATCATGAGGAAACGAATTCGTTCTTGAAATTTCAACATCCTATAGCTCGAAAGTTATGATTATATGAACCTTTTTTCTTGAAATGAGCTAGGGTTCCTAATTACACCCTGTGTATGAAAATGAAAAAGAAAATACCTTCAATGCAACCGATGCTAGCTAGTTAGACCGATATTAGGAATCGAAGAAAATTAATTATCCACAAGCATATTCGACCATATACTTTGTGCATCACCAGGTATACGAGGTGGTGAGAACGAGGTGCAGTAATAAAAGCACGTTTTAGACTTTGTAGATGAGCGCGTGCTTCAAAATTTGATTTAGTTCCAACAACAATTACAGATATTTCTCGACAGGCGATAAAACATAATGTATTATATGACGTTTACTACTTTTTAAGAGATGAACATTAATTTAACGTATATGCGCGACACCGACTTTTTCAAATGTCAAAATGTTGCGTTACTTTGAAATATGCTCACGAAACAAAGCTGATCTCATAACTAATGAAAATGACGGTCGATTCGAATTTTATTACCTATAAAAGTAACAAACAGTCCGAGGCGGCAAAAAAAGTTATGGGAAGAGAACAGTGATCAGTAAATATATTGGTGGTTCGTAGGTTGAAGGTTCCTCCACCAAATCCTCAAAGAATCGATTTTCCAAGCTTCATCATGTAATGTTAAAATAGAGGAAGATAATTGAACTATCATATTTCTTAAACTGAAAAATGTCCCATGAACGGTCATTTATTGGATACAATTCACTGTTAGTCCAAAAATGGATATACAGTGTGTCCATTTAGCAACTTTGGTTTTTGTGTGTGGTCTGTCTGTCTGTCTGTCTGTCTGTCTGTACTCTGTGGTAATCATACATCGATATATCTCCGGAATCCTTTGACATATCGACTTGAAATTCCGTCATCTTATTGTACTCAAAACAATATCATGTCATTTAAATATGAAGGGAATCGGAAAACTCTAAGGTGGTTTTTCCGGGTTTTTTCGATTTTTCACCGGAAGTTTCTTGTAACCACTCTACAAATCGCAAAAGTGGTCCGATCGATTTCATTTTTTGTGAAAAATAACTCTATCAGGAAGAGACGAAGCCTATTGAAATTGAGCAGGGTCGGGAAATTCCAAGTGGGTTTTTCAAGGAGATTTTCCGAAAAACACGGTTCGCTTCAAAACGACATATCTCCTGAACCAATAGACTAAATCCAAATTTGAAAAATGCACCGTATGCCTCTTTGATGACGCAACAAATTATTATTCAACCATTTTTTCGTGCATCCATCGGAAAATGGAAAAACAAATGAAAATCAAAACATCAAAATTTGAAATCCTTTCAATTCAATATATATCGAAAACAAATGGAAAAATCGAAAATTATCAGAAGTGCAAAGTTATCCACTGAAACATTTCCTACAAATTATTACCCATAATTTTTTCTGTTAACCCAATAGTACAGGAAATAAAGTAAAAAATATGAAAAAAAAATTTGAACGACCCATGGGGTACCATGAAGATATATTGAAAACAATGATTATCGATAGATGAAGCTCATCGACTTCCACCGAACCATGAAATATTTTTTCCTTTTGTTGATTGGAAGATGGAACAAAATTGTTGAAAATGTTATTCTCAGATAATTCCAAATATCTCGAAAACAACTGAGAATATCTGAAAATATTATAGAACTAAAATTATTCCTTTTGATAGAATCTACAAAAAATCCGGATAAAATTTTTCTCTGAATTCACTAGTTCGGGAGATACGATGAAAAAACTAAAAAAATTACAAGTTCTGACCTCTATACTAATCTAATACCTAATGAAAACTATACATCTATACTAATCTGATACCTTTCAAAAACTACGTACCTCACTTGTTCGATATGCGGTCGATCGACATTTCAGTGAGCCTTTTTATTGCACAGCACTATTTCTTCTTGACGCTATTTCATTTCTCGCTATTTTGTCGCTTCCTCTAGCGAGTCTAGCGCCATTTTAGTAAGCGGCTTCGCTATAATTTCCTTATTGGCACTGTTCTGACTCGCTATTTTATCGCAAGCCATTTGAAAACAGAGTAATTCGGATATTATGTTTATAAGAACTTTTCTTGATATTTTGACCTGAGGATTGCGACATCCGAAATACATAATGGATCAACCGCATCAACCTGTATTTTAATGAGAAAAAAATGAACATCAGGATGGAAATTGCATTGACTTACCTCTTCCGCTTCTGCCGACGAACCTGAGATCGTTGAATTTGGCTACTTGGTTCTTCATCACGGCCGTACAATTCCTCAATTCGGCGCAGAAATTCTCGTCGTTGCCCGCTCTTATGGTAACTACGGTACCATCACCTATATCTCCCACAGCCACCACCTGCAAACAATAATTATTAGAAACTATTGTTTCGAATGGGAGGAGGTGGACGGCAACTATCAAGAAGTATTAGGTATCTACTGATACTGATAAGGATTAGTAACCTTCAGGTTGGGAAAGTAAGATATATAAAAGTTAAGCAAGCCAACGTTAGTTTAGTTCATTGTACCAGTATATCACCTGACGAAGCTACTGTGTTAGCGAAACATGTCGTTGAGAATTTTGTGGAAATATTATCGTTTGTGAAGTTTTTACATTAGTCATGGATTTCCATCAAGTAACGGCCGAGTGAATAAAAAAATAGTTATTTGTTTAACTAGGCAGCAAAGTAGTAGATTGACTGCCGAGGCTGAATTCATAGCCGAGCGTAGCGAGGCTAGGAATCCAGCTAAGGCAGTCAATCTACTTTGCTGCCGAGTTGAACATATAATTTTTTCTCCGATTGTTCATAATGATATAGGAGGATATTGTAATTGCAAATTATTACAATTCCCACAATCTCTTTATTTTTCCTGCAGTGTTCAATTAAAATGAAATTTGATAGAAATCCCAGTTGTCCATGATAATTATAGTTTGACAATTCATGAAAATCCTGACAGTTGTGCGAAAAAATATCGGTATATTTGAATTATTATATAATGGACAGTGATAGCGACCTGGAAGTACTTACACCTCCAGAAATAAGGGAGGTGGCAAAAAATATAGAGTTGAATGTGTTGCCGAAGAAGTCTCGAATGAAATATGAAGGAAATTATAAACGATTTATGGATTATTGATTTTGCTGATACATATCAATCAGCAAAGTACCCACTTTGCTGCCTTGGCAGGAAAAGTAATACTTTGCTGATTGATATGTGTCAGCAAAATTAATATTTGCTGCTAATCGGAGAAAAAATACATTGCTGGTGAATAAATAGTCTATTGTTTGACGAGCACGGAATAATAGTCGTTTTCCACGAGTAGATAGAATAGAATAGAATAGAGCTTTATTTAGCATCGATAGCTATTACATAACCATACATGAATATTACACATTCGATAATATCACACATAAACAATATAATCTATACAATAAAATACATTTTTCTCAATCTTGTTTTGAAAATTCTTACATTTCCTGATGTCTTAACTAGAAGAGGTAGATCATTATACATTCTCAAACCTTCAATGAAGAGAGTTTTTTCCAAAGCATTTGTGTTGAAACCTTGTATGTAGAACTGATCATTGAACCTCAAATTATAATGTATCATATCTGCCCTTTTGATTATATATTTTCGCAAGTAGGAAGGAGCTTGCTTATTGACAATTTTAAAAATTAATACCAAAGACGACTCTACAATCAGTTGGGAAATATTTAGAAATTTCAAGGTCTTTAGCATATCATTTACTGCAGTAAACCTGCTACAACGAAGAAGAATTCGCATTGCTTTATTCTGGAGTAGCTGCAATCGATGTATTTGTGTAGAGGAACAGGAAAGGAGTATAGAAATACAGTAATTAAAATGTGGAAATATAATAGTATTATAAACAATTTTTCTACACCACGGGGAAAGGCTTGTACAGATTCTATAAAAGTGTCCGACTTTTTTTCCTATTTTTTTACACAAAAAATCGATATGCGCAGAAAAGTTAAGTTGAGGGTCAAAAAGAATGCCGAGGTACTTTATCTCATTAACATACATTATCACCGAATTATCAATCGTTAGCACAAAATTCCCTTGATTGAATTTAGTACAGTTGATTTTGCTACCTAATATCATACACTTTGTTTTTTGAGCATTTATTTTAAGTTTATTCGCCCTGAGCCAACTATTCAAAATATCTAACTCATTATTCATGGATTCAACCATATTGTTGTAATTTTCTCCAGATATAGAAATCAGAGTGTCATCAGCAAAAAGATTTATAAATGAATTCTGTAGATAAAGATGTAGGTCATTTATATATAGTATAAACAATAGTGGTCCAAGGACACTTCCTTGAGGAACCCCGTAGATACTACTTATCTCATCAGAATAACTACCATAAATTTTTGTTTTTTGTTGCCTATTTGTAAGATAATTTGTTAGCCATTTGAGTACTGTGCCTTTTATTCCATATGCCTCACATTTTAATAACAATTTTTTCCTATCTATAGTTTCGAACGCTCGTTTCAGGTCTACAAATACACTGACGACAATTTTGCCATCATCAATGTCCTTTTTCCACTTATTGCACATCAATTGGCAAGCTGACTCAGTGGAATGATTATGCCGGAACCCAGATTGACATGCAAACAGCAGATTATTTCCATTAAGATATTCCACTAATTGTTCATGCACTAAAATTTCGATTATTTTCTCAATTACTGGGAGTAAATTTATGGGTCTCAACTCTTCGGGCTTACTTGGTTTATTTATCTTTGGTACAGGTATTATTGTGCTGCACTTCAAGACTGCTGGTAAAACACCATTTTGCAAACACGTATTTATGATATACAGTAGAGGATACCCAACCACTGAAAAAATATTTTTTAATAATGACACTGTCAGCACATCATCACCCGTTGATTTATTTTTCAAATTATTTACTATCTTCTGTAATTTATTGAGAGAAACGATAGGGAACGTGTTAATACTAGAATTTACATCAACTATAATTTCCCCAAAATTTGTCGGATCAGGTATGCTTTCAGAAATTTCCTTTATACTATCAAAATAAAACTTATTCAATTCTTCCTTGACACTTCCTGTACCTAGGTCCAACGAGTTAAAGTCGAAGTTATTGTTTTTATTATTCACTATTTGCTTCAGTGTTTGCCACATTTTTTTACTATCATTTTTACATTCATCAATAGCTCTTTCGTAGAATTCTTTTTCTTTAACCCTAATTAAAGATACAACTTGATTTCTCTTCTTTCTGTACTTTTCGAAATCTGATGGATCATTTGAATAGCGAAACGTTTTGTAACACCTATCTCTCTCTTTCTGCAAAGCTCTGACTTCATTATCAATCCACCCACTTGAATTGAAGATCTTCTTCGCTTCAATTGGCGCTACTTTATCTAAACTTGATTCAATATTGGTTATGAAGCTATTGTATAAGACGTCAACATCAGTGGAAGATATAGAGTTCGCAGCATAAGTTGGTGCCTCTGGCATCGTTGACAGAAAGCAGGTGCTCGTGTTCGGCTGCCAACCACCAACCAATGTTTCAGGAAAAACCTTATTATTATGTAATGTACTACAATTTTAGTTTTTTTTGTCCAAAAATAGGTGAAAAATATACTGTTTTTTCCTCATAACTCGAAATATATATACAGAGTGTTTGATTCACCGACGTATATCAGAAAGGAGGTGATAGTTGAGAACATTTCGAACATATTTTACCATTTATATACTATTATACAAAGTGTTTCAAATTTCGGGGTATCATCGTAAACATTTTATCTGATTAAATCTCTTTTTTCTCAGAGAGTCGAACACCCATTTCATCGATATTGAACACAAAATGGGATCTAATGTGATAAAAACATTTTTTGGCTCGTTAGAATTAAAAAACGATTTTTGTAACATCCGATTTTGGTGAAAAGTGAAACACTTTGTATAATAGTATATGTGGTCAAATTTGTCCAAAATCACATAACCTACCACCTCCTTCCGTATATACGTCGGTGAACCAAACACTCTGTATATGAAAAATAGGAGTCCGGGTTTAACCGCGTCTAGAATGTGTAGATGTTCGACGTTTCGACACCGATTTTGAAGTCAATTTCAAGAACTGAATAACAGAAATAAAAAGATAAAAATATGGGGAGTGATTTTTCACTGAGATCTCAATCTGCCTACTCCCCAGATCTCGTCATTGGTTCCAACTGCGAAGAATTGACTGATTGACAGACATTAATATTTATCTGTGGTTTTGGAGTAGAAGAAGATTAAGGAATTTCAAGGAATTGCAAGAAATCTAGTTATTTGTAGACCAGAATTATATCGCAGTTCACTCAAGGAATTCCGAAGAATTTCAAGAAAATCCAAGGAATTTCAAGAATATTTAAGGAAATCCAAGAAAATCCAAGAAAATTCAAGGAAATTCACGTAAATCTCGGGCATTCCAAAACAATTCAAGGCATTCCAATGAATTCTAAGGAATTCCAATTGTTTGTCGACAAGATTTATACCGCACTTTACCCAAGGAATTCCAGTAGTTTGTTAACCAGAAATTATATTGCAGTTTACCCGAGTTTACCCCTCGGTTTACCCCACGGAAAAACTGAATGATAATGAAATTTGCAGGAATGAAAGAATTCAGAACTATTCCTTGATTTTCCTGGTATAGTAATTTTCCTAACAAGTACGGAGAGTGAAGCTGCCCTGGACGCGAATGCCGATGATCCGAACGACGCGAAGCGGAGTTCGGGCAAGCAGTCGAGTGCGGGAAAGACACTTTCCGCATGAGTTAGGAACATTATTTTTTCTACAAGCGTAGGAAATTCTTAACTTCAACGCCCTGTATCTCGAGAACTCAACACTTGAAGACCGTATGACCCTATCTCAGTGATTATGAAATCACGAGGGCTATCACCTGTTAAGCGTTGTCGGTCGAATTTCGTAACACCCTGTATAACAATCAATTATTATTTTTCAATATTCCCTCATTTTCACAATAAATAGTGCAGTTTGATGGATGATTTTGTACAAACTTACTAAATACTGCAACAAAAGAACCTAAAATTTTCATATTCTGTCACCCACTACTAATATTTTGCGAGAATATTATGATGAATGATGACACGTTCCAAACTAAATTGCGTGAGGATATAGGGTGAATAACGCACGCTTGTGAAAAAAACATTTCAATGGATAATGAGGGGTAAATCACGTGGGAAGTTTGGTATACAGACACGAGGAAGTTCGAGGAAGTTTGGGGGAAGTTCGAGGAAGTTCGAGGAAGTTTGGGAAGTCCGAGGAAGTTTGGGAATTTTCGAGGAAGTTTGGGATATTTGAAGAAGTTTGCATTTCAGCAAATAATACAGATGCTGTTAGATGATTCAATAATACCTACCTACCTGAAAATTCATGGTACTGAAAAATTGCATTGCATAGGTAATTAGCTCGGTAATTATATGATAGGGTTGATTTCTGTTGGTGGATTATTCAAAACTGTAAGTCATTCATGTCATTCAGTTTCAAATCCCTTCCAGTAAAGTACTCTCAAGTTGAGGTATACTCACCTATACCTGCCTATACATATACGTACAGTCAGATGCAATGAACATGTCGAACATGGGCGGTGATGGCATCTCTGCTATAAGAGCGCTAACAGCATCCAACCGCGATAGTTATTTTCTTTGCATTCGACTGAACCTACCTATACCTACCTACCATAGGGAAAGGAAGAAATGTTGAATCAATCAATACTAAATTGCTCATTTGGTTTGTGAAGTTTGAAAAGTTTCGGGAAGTTTAGGAAGTTCGAGGAAGTTTGGGGAGTTCGAGGAAGTTTGGGCAGTTTGAGGAAGTTTTGGAAGTACGAGCGAGTTTGGAAAGTTTGGGAAGTTCGGAGAAGTTTGGGGACATTCGGGGAAGTTTGAGGAAATTCGGAGAAGTTTGAGGAAGTTCGAGGAAGTTTGAGGAAGTTCTAGGAAGTTCGAGGAAGTTTGGGAAGTTTTGACCCATGGGAAGTTTGGTGTACAATTTTTTTCACCGCGATTTACCCCTCGCTGGATTATGAGCTATACGTGGTATTTCTTACCTTGAAAGCCGCCGGTAGCGTCTTGTTCGACCGCCAATGGTTCGGCAGCTGCGTGCACAAAATGTACGGACTTCCAGTTTTTACTAACTCCCCCGGATGCTCAGCAAGCAGCTCGTGCACGCGATGGTCCACCCAGTAGAAGTCGGGGTCGCCGTGCTGTTGCGGATGATGCGGGTGGTGGTAGCCCATCGAGGGGTCGCACATGGCTGAAGACGTCTTCGGCCAAGCGGCTTCGGATACGTTGCACGTCGTCACTGATACCGGGAGATGCATCACCTGATATGGAGGGACTTTCGCGAAGAGGTGCCTGGAACCAAAACCTCAACTTTTTTGACGACTATACCTGGTAACACAGGAGAAATGTAACAGCCTGTAGTTTTTTTATTTGAAGAGATGAAAATTTGGAATTCACAAGGGCTATATTATCGATGATGGCGCTTTCCTTGAACCCAATGACAATTCGCTTCAACCATCTGTTTGATCGAAAGTAGACCCAACTTTTTTTTTTTCAGAAGGCTCCCTATATATTTTTGAATTCTATCTTATTCGCCTTGGAATTCTCTATTCAACTATGTATCACAATTTGATATCCGTTTATCAATTGGCTGTTAAATTGCATTTTATTGAAATACATGAAATTGGCTGTGGCAAGAATACAATAACATTCCGATGCTTCATAGGCTCATTAGAAAACCAAAGATCATTACTCAGCTTAGACGATATTATCAGGATATTTTCCATACCCTAATCGGTCCCAGAAGATTGCAAATATTTTGGTTGAGTTTAAGAAAATCATCCGAAAATAACTCACGATATTGAGAAAACTAATATAGAAACTCTGTTTTTTTCATTTGGCTACTTGTGTAGAGGCTGCAGGCAATCGAGAGACCTGGTAGCCGGTCCAAGCAAGCCAAAGACGGCTTGGTTACTGGGCAGGGATCGCCAAGTCCTGCGCCTTCTTATAAGGGTACTGACAGGGCACAGACACCTGTCACTCATGTGGAAGATAGTCCCACTTGCCGTGAATGCGGAGAAGATGGGGAGACATCACTACACTTCCTCGGAGAGTGTGAGGCGTATGGAAGGATGAGATTCGAAATCTTTGGAGTAGATAAACTACAATAGGAAGATTTGGCCGAATTAGAGTGGACGGACATCCTGACCTTCATCAGAAGGACGGGAAGGTTCGGAAAGAACAACTAAAAGAGGGATGTGTCGATATGTGGAGAGCAGGGGTTGGCAAAAAGGGCCCATGGGGGCCTACTTGCCTGGCTACAGCCTCCCCACAATACTACTACTACTACTACTACTGCGTAGAAACTATTTTTGTTTCATTTTTGCCATGTGGCCATGATATGATCATCCATTTGGATACATGAAACCATAGTTGTAATAATTGATGTATCGTCCTATAATACATGTGGTCATAATTCTACATTAGTGTATTTTCCGAGGTATTTTCATTATCATTCCGCTTAGTAGGCGGTATACACAAAATGTCTGGTTTCACAGTTATTCATTTTATTGCAATCTCCTGGTACTGATAAGGGTATGGATAATATATTGATAATATCGTCTAAGTAATGATCTTCGGATTTCTAAGCCTATCAAGCATTGAATTGTCATTTTATTCTTCATGTATTTCAATAAAATACAATTCAACAGCCAATTGATGCACGAATATCAAATTGTGATACATAGTTGAATAGAGGAATTTTTTTGGCAAATACGATAGGCTACAGAAATATACAGGGTTTGCTTCCGATCAAACAGGTGATCGAAGAAAATTGTAATTGGGTTCAAGGGAAGTGCCATCATCGATAATATAACCCTTTCAAATTTCAAATCTTTATCTCTTCAAATATAAAAATTACAGGCTGTTACATGTCTCCTGTGTCACCTGGTATAATGACCACATTTTCGTTTGGAAAAAGTTGACAATTTTTAGTATTTGTTTGCAACAATGACTGTTAAATTGAGTGTTATTTAAATAAATACAGAAAGCTCAAAGTCATTTCCACACAATGCTCATAAAATGAACAACAATGGTAGATTTCGGGAGAAAAACAACTACTTTCCTGGCTAATACCACGCAGAACATTGAATTACATCCTCCCGAAATCTATGCATCGACTCGTATAAACTGATACTGATACAAGTGATTCTTTCCTGAATGCCTATGGATTTCGATATTGCTAGGCCACGCTAGACACCTACAGACCTGTTTCGAGCTATTTGACTCTTATCAGTGCTGGGTAGTTTCCAGTCTAGTCAGTCCTAAGACCGCCGAGTAAGCCTAGACTAGCGAAACAAAAATAAAGTCAGCATAATATTCTCAGGGAATATCATGCCGATGACGGTTGCTTTATTTGATATCTTAGTTCCATTATCCTGATCAGGATATTCAGGATGAGCGTTTTTTTTACTCGTATAAAATGGTGAATTATGTTCCGCATATGTTATGTTAATAGAGAGTTGAAGTGTTGTCATGAACGTTAACGTAAACGTAGAAATTGACAGCTACGCATGCGCATTTTCCAATTCTTCACGTTTGCGTTGTTAGTGGGCTTACGGATGTACGGTATCTCACGTTCCTTCACGTTAACCAAACTATACTCGAAATATGCCGATGAGTCAAAATTATCAAATTCGAGATCATCAACGAGTTCTGCATCAAGGAGTCCTCTAATTTTGACAGGAATATATGTTCGAATCTAAACACACAACAAAAAATGACCAATACAAACCGAAAACAAAATGTATTATTACGTTATGATGACAGTGACGACCAAAGTGGCGACTTCAACTCAATTTAACGACAATACGTAAACGTATTATTTTTCGTTCGTTAACGTCTACGTGGAGGTCTACGTACAGTGATTACTTCAACTCTCTATTGTTGCACGAAATACAAATCTTCCCTTCTTTGGTATTATATTCACGTGCACACAGCCCAGCAACCCGCAAGGATGCACCTTTTTTATCGCCGTAACTTGACTTTGACACTACTGACCTCTCGTTTAAGTTTCGCCAACTGATGAGAGTGAACATTTTAGTCCTCATTCTTCCTCCATTGAATGCAGTGTGAGTAATTTCCAGAAATAAATGAGAAGTCAGCTGCAATTGTGTGATTTTGAATTGAAAAGATATATAACGAGAGATATGAGTATGTTATAATAAAGGTACTCAGATACAAAAAAATAGACGGTTGGACTTCGGCAGAAAAGATGCATATTCAAAAAAAAAATGAGAAACAACACGCATCTGATGTGTATTTGCCTCCCCATTTGATGGTTCGGAAAGGCAGATTTGCATCCATATGGCTATACATAATGTAACAGTTTTTATTTGTCCACCCTGAGCAGAAAGCGCAAGAGTTTGAATCTCTTATATACCGGAGGAATCAAGGAAGAAATATGAATTGCAATGATACATTCATAAATTGGTGCCACTCCGAGATGGTGAATATGTATTCAGAAAACGTTTTACTGGCTTATTTTGGTAAAAAATCAAAGACTTTGAAGTCATCAACTCATTGGTCTATTCATTCGTATACATGCTTGAATGTTAAAGATAATATCGGAATCAATAAGTATCTGAAACTTATCGCATTTCTCAAGAAACAATCTATTGGATTTAAAGCGAGAAAAATCCAAAACATTCTCCGCTGAATATACCAACAAATTTCTACAAGAAGCTACCGATGAAGCATATCTGTTGGAAACGATGAATTATACTTCATATTTTAAACTCTTTGTTGTCATCAGAAAGTGCATTTTTATTTTATTGCATCAATGAGAAATGTTCAATTTGATTGCAGAGTTTATCGTACTATGGCTCAGAGGTCTGAAGCTCAGGTTGCCACGCTGGTGGTCCAGTTTCAATTCTCGGTTGGCCCGACATTTTTTTTCTGGCTTGTCAGTTATTTCAATTTTTCTTTTTTTGTTTCCTTTGGACATATGGGATGATATGGATAAGAACTTTTTCAACTATTTCAATCGCTCATACTTTCAGGGTAGTTATTTCCAAAAGCTGCGTTAGTAGAAAGAATCTTGTGTGTATTTCGAGCACAAAGTGTTATTGCCGCTCTCCAAAGATTACCGCGCTCCGCTCCGCATCGCGCGGTAACTTTCTTTGTCGAGCGGCAATCTATCGCTTCGCGCTCTAAATACACAAATAGCTATTATTGTGCTTCAATCGATTAATGGAATGCTTCGAAAATCAATGGAAGTTATTGGTATTGGCTCAAAGTCTTTGGTAGTAACCTCGGTAGTAACTGAGTCATTGGAAGTCTTTGGATGTATTTGGACATCTCTGGATGTCTTTACAAGTCTTTGGATGTCTTTTGAAGTCTTTGGATGTTTTTGAAAGTCTTTGGAAGTCTTTGGGAGTCTTTGGAAGTCTCTGGAAGTCTTCGTTCATTGGAAGTCTGATGTACACATTTCTCCTGGAGATTTACCCCTCGGGTCAGGGAGATTCGTAAAGGAAATCTAGGTGAAGCAAGGGTAGATATATGGAGAGCAGAGGTTAGCAAAAAGGGCCCATCGGAGCCTGCTTGCTTGGCTACAGCCTCCCCACCTACTACTATACTACTACTGCTGCTACACACGGTATGAATGAAGAAGAAGTTTTTATGCGAATACAGTTTGCACACCAATGCTCAGAAGGAAATAACCTGTCATTCAAAACATGAAACGATGGTTCGTTATAAATTCTTGGAGAAGTATATTTTGATGCCCACTGTATTACTCAGTTCTAGCCAGGGTCAGTCGTTTCATAATCGCATAGTAATTAAAATCCAAACACGAGTTTTTTCCAATTACCACATTCTCCTATAGACACGGCCTATGGAAATCCCGTCGATGACTAACAAACAATCATCAATATAAAACTCATCATTCCACTAAAACGTCGTTCCTCTCCTACATCTCAACTCTCCGAGAAACACCCGCGGCAACCGACCCAAAATATTACATAACATGCAGAAAAACTCATCGAAAAAAAATGTCAAACCTTTCCGGTTCACCACGGCTCCATCACACACACTTTCACACGTCGTTCCAACGATGAATCACCGGGTATTTACGCCACAGTTCAAGTACTAAGCTGTTCAAAACCTTGTAAGTACGCGCTTCACGCGCCAAAAACCGCGTCGACCAGAAACGTTTCCCGAAAACGCACGTGCGTTTAGCGAAGCGTAGGCGAAATTCACGTGGGGCGATGCTTAAAAGTGATTCCAACGCGCTCTTCCTGCGAAGACGGTCGACGCGGCACTGGGCTAGATGGAGCGCGGTTTTCATTTCACGGCCTGCTGCGTGAAGTGAAACGCTGGTCGACGAAGGAAGACGTAACGCACGCGTGTGGGAGGCTCTTTGGCGCTGTGGGGTCGTATTGAGGTAGGACATAAGGCGCAGTATCGCGTTTTTACGAGGGATTTTCGCAGTTCTTTTTCCGGAAGGAGGCGGTGCCGGGAGGCGGGATTTGAGTTTTGAGTCACCGCAAATTGTGAGGCGATACCTGCGGCACTGCGGTGTGTGTGGATTGTTTATAATGTTTAACGATGTTTTGTTGCTGGTGAATAGCGAATTAGAGTGGTCAGTGGAAGAAATGCACCGATCGAATTCTTGATAAAGTTGCCAATACTTCAGCAAATCGGTGTTATGAGACCAATTTTTCCAAAATTGAGATAATCTGTTCTGACGGACTTTTGAGGTGAAAACTTCTTTAGGCGCCTTCAGCACTCTTTTGGGTGAAAAGAAACATTGGATGTCGCGTCATCCTTAGTCCTCACCGTGACCTTTTTTTATGTTCTGGTTCCCACGAAAAGGGATATCCTGTAATGTTCAGAGAACATCGTGAGAACCAAGGGAAATGAGGTAATATGCCTCGAGGAACACCTCCCTTGGCAATGTGTTCCAGAGCCTCGCTCCAAAATGACCACGAAGGGGTGCATAGCCTCAACTCGATGGGTTAATCTCGCGGGGCATCGTCCATGAAAATATCTATGAAATAGAGCCAGATTACCAACTTTTCAGCGGTGTTCCTGAGAAGTGAGTGAGTTTGTGAGCGAGTCATCCCCTACGAGACGAATTGCCCTTTTTTGGATAGAATCTTACAGTTTCAGGGAATGTTTGGGAGCTGCACTCCTAATAGATCATATAAGCAGCTGACTGGAAGTGAAATAGCTCCTGGCTCCGAATCAGAAAACCAAGTTTTTGGGATGCATTTTTAGGAACTGATCTCACGTGATTTTCCCAAGAAAGGTTATTGCTGATAGCAATACCAAGCATCGAAATGGATGTCTTCAAAGGTATGGTTACTCCTGACAAGCTTATGTTGGGCACAGTGAGATCGGATTTTCTAGAGAAAAGGCATGCTTGTGTTTTGTTCGCATTGAAATCTACCAAGATATTGGATCCCAATTCGGAAATTGTTGCCAAGTTGATAATAATATACATGTTGTAAAAATTCCTCCCTCGTTCGTTTCTGATTTGCCTGGCTGGTATTGGAGCTCTGGAAGAGAGGGCATCCGCGAAGCTGTGTACTGGACATGAAGTTGCTTCGTTAATATGGAATAGAAATAGTGTTGGTGCTAGAGTCGATCCATGCGGAACACCAGCATTTATGATAATAGTCAGATGAAACTCTTTCGACCACTACATGGAGATACCTGTTTGAGATATTTATAACCTTGTTCGTTGGTATAATTCAAACGAAATGGATTTGAACCTTGATAAATGATTCTTCATGAATTTCAACAGATGTCAGACACCTATAGATTATACATAGGTACTCCATTAACTCAATAGACCTCGATAGAGTAACTCAAATAAAAGATCTTGGGGCATTATTGGATGACAGACTATCTTTTTCACACCACATAATAATGATATCCCTAGATATCCATAGAGATCTCTCAATACTGCGCTTTTGTCTGTCCATACTTGGAATACGCGTCGGTGGTTTGGAGTTTCAGCATATAAACTAGGAAATAGGTAAACAACTATGACTATGATTATCCATCCCTATGCTCATTATGAAAAATAACTAATCTATAGGAAACAGGAGAATGGGCGTGTACACCTTAGTAGAACTTATAACTCAAACCATGTTTATAATGATCCTTTTATACATAAATAATGATTGACGACATAATTCGATCGAAAAATTAACTGGAATGTTTTATTTTTGAACATAAACAATAGTACCTTCTAAAAACGGACCCTCTTATGACGTAGACACCTCATCTCGCCATAGTTAAAAGAAAATACCAAAAGCCCGACGAAGACTGAGGCAACTGATATATTAATTCTTTCAACTGTGATATCGCGCTAATTCACTCTGTTAGAAACCATGTATCATTCATCTCTGTCTGGAATAGTCTTGTTTCAGTATTAGGGTTTTGACGTCACATCATCGCCTCGTTTTCAGAGGTCCGAAAAATCGGGGATTTCTATAATTTTTCATAAAACGTAGGGAGCTCACAGCAGGAAACGGTTTGCGGTGGTGAGCTAGTTATTTGGGTGAGTTCTATCGAATTATGAAATAAATTTTTTTTGTGATATAAGCCCATTGGAGCCGACTTATGTTTCTTGTTCAAGCTGCTAGCTGGTGAAGTCTGCTCTCCTAATCTCCTATGTAATATAGAGTTTGAAATTAATAATTCTAGCACTAGGTCAAAGGACACCTTTTATATTAAGCATCATTACAGGAACTATGGGTTCCATAGTCCTCTAACAAGAATGGTAAGGAATGCAAATGATGTAGATTTGAACTACTTCGGCATACCCGTCCCCTATCTGCTTTCAGACTTGAACTAAAGAAAATACTTGGTTCAGTGATACAAGACGTTGTTTGGAATCGCACGTTAAAAGGTATAAGACCTCCGTCATTCCTTGCTCGCACAAGTGTCTTGAAGACTTCTGAGGGTTGCTCGTAAGGGGGCAACCGAATGATGGATAAGCACAATTTCGGAACAACAATTTTTGATCTCTTATCATGATAAGACTTTTCATAATTTTGTGTAGTATTATTTTTTCTCTCTTATATTATTTGTAGAACCACCGTTTCGAAGTAGGAGTGTCAATGTCCTTCTAGTGAGTTTCATCTCACTCTCTCATCATCACTGCTGGTGCTCCGAATGGATCAATTCTAGCACCAACACTATTTCTAAAAAAAAATTGTTCTAAGTCATCATTCGGTTTCCCCCTTACGAGCAACCCTCAGAAATCTTCAAGAGACTTGTGCGAGCAAGGAATGACGGGGGCAAACACTTCCTTCTACTCCATATCAACGATTTGTTGACAGCAAATTCATGTCCAGTACACTTCTTCGCGGATGATAGTACCCTCCATACCGCCTTCTCTTCTAGGGCTCCAATACCAGCCAGGCAAATCAGAAACGAACGAGGGAGAAATGTTGACAACATAAATATGGGCTTGGCAACAACTCTCGAATGGGGATCCAATAACTTGGTAGAATTCAATGCAAATAAAAGACAAGCATGTCTTTTCTCTAGAGAAGCCGATCTCACTGTTCCAAAAACATAAGCTTTTCAGGAGTGACTATACCCTTGAAGTCATCCATTTCGATGCTTGGTATAACCATCAGATCTATGCTATCAGCAATAACCCCTCTTTGGAAATTCACGTGCATGAGATCAATTGCTAAAAGTGCATCCCATCTGTTTCGAGCTAGGACCTATTTCACTTCCAGTCAGCTGCTTATGATCTATAAGGCACAGATCCGACCTGTCCTGGAATACTGTTCCCATATTTGAAGTGCAGCACCCAAACATAACCTGAAACTGTTGGATTCTGTCCAATAAAGGGCAATTCGTCTCGTGGGTGATGCTTCGCTCACAAACTCACTCACTTCTCTGGAACACCGTAGAAAAGTTGGCGATCTGACTTTATTTTATAGATATTTTCATGGACGATGCTCTCCTGAAATATCAACAATTGTTCCTTCCTTGGAAATCCTCGCGAGATTAACCCGTCGAGTTGAGGCTTCGCACCCCTTCGTGGTCACTTTGGAGACCTGCAGAACCTCCAGAAATTTAAGAAGAATACCAATTCCAACCTTATTTCTCTTGGTTCTCACGATGTTCTCTGAACAATACAGGATATCCCTTCAGGAGAACCAGAACATAAAAAGAAGTGAGTTATCATTTGTAGGAATATTTTAAACGCTGCAATCATCATTTATTTTTTCAAGATTTTACTTGTACAGTGTTGTGATGGATATGTCCGTGAATAAATAAATAAATGAAATCAAGAACTAAATGCATTTCAAATCTCACTTTTTTCAACACTCTGATGAATCAGACATTTTGGAAATTATTATTCAAAACCTGACTGGTTTACTTCATTCTCTGATCATTTTATCTCGATTCATAAAATGGTTGCTATAGGTATAATGGATATCTGATCATAGACGTATTACTATAAAAACATAATATCCGGTTGGGTTTTTCGCACTTTCCCTGCCATGGTTACATTCACATAATATCCTTATCAATCGACAATGCATAAAATTATCATTTCGTATCAATGGAAGTTTATATAATTTTGTTAGGAAACTGACTTCCTGGGAAACCATATTTCATAGTCCGTAGGAATTGCAGTTTTTTGAGTTGAATTACCTAATGACAACAAAATTCGAATCATAAATGCCAAGTTCAGTTTGCCTACAAAAAAGCTAGATTGTAATTCGGTAAGACTATTTGATTCATCAAACATTTGATTATGGCTGGTTGTCATGCTTTCAGAAGTTATAGGTTCCGTTATTGTCGCTGGAAAAGTTAGGGTAAACTTATTTCGCTGTCATAATGACAAAATCACACGGCTTGTGGGATTTTTCATACATGAATTAAATTGTCAATGCAATAAAATATATCCAAAATAGGTGTTGCCCAAAGTCGAATTTCCATCATCGAAAAGATATATTTTCGTATAACACAATCGCTTAGAATATTGTGGCCTTTTTGGTTTTTATGCACATTCTCGTAATGTGCGCGAATTTGTCACTTTACACACTCAATTTGCGGACAGGTACAATAATTTCCTGAATGATTGTGTATGATATGGATGAAATGAATTTCGAAACGGTTTTTGCGTGACCAAATAAAATTGAATAATAAAATGCTCCAGGAATTCATTATTTGTTTGTAACAACTGCAACAACCTTTCATGAAAGCATTTTATACCTGTGTAATGATTTCATGGCATTATTTCGAAAAAAATCATCGTTCCTAAAGAT